GGGGGAGGTGGGGAGGGGTAAAATGCCTTGCGGGGGAAACTTTCAATATAGTAAATACAATAAAAACTGATGCGAAGTTTTAAAAGAAAGGGTGCAATTAGGAGGGGGATAACATCAAACGCATGGTGTATTCGAATTACAGAGCGCTCAATCTCGGACTACCCAGACCGATATTGATTTTTGACCATATGAATAAAGTAGAAAGAATGAAACTCTAAGTTGAAGAAACAATAAAAGCCCCATGTCCAATAATTTTATTTAAATACAAAAAAATATATAGTATTAGTTAAAAAAATACCCTCAGTACGAAACCTAATCTGCAATAGGTAAAATTAACAAGGGAAAATAAAAACAGCTAAGTATATAAAATAAGGACATAGCTATAAAAGAATATATTTTTATTTTTGAATTACCATTATTATAGACACCACAAGTGCTTAGCGCTTTTGTTTTTAGTTAACACGTTTTGATAAAAAAAAATGGTCGTTTCACTAGAAAAAAAATCAGATAATGGTGTCAACTCTTCTCTCCACAGTACTATATGTATGTATTATCAGTCAAAAATACAGTAGGTACAGTTTACTGTGAATTGCTATATATTTTCTTGAGGGATATCTAAATAATATTTATGCAATATTCTCTTCCAGTACATGTTACCCTCCATAGAGTAGCTAAAATAAAGGTCAAGCCAACTAACGGAAGGAAGACATCAATAGCTATATATTTTCCAGAAAGGGTAATGGACGTGTGTTGCTGTCGCCACATCCGAGTTGAATTGGCACTTAGCAACTCCTTTAAATCATCCAAGTCAGAGGATATTCACAACGAAGGCGGTTAACACAAGAATCGAAAATCTCGGCAGATAATTTGTACTGTTTATGAGCTAACTACTACAAATTCATCGTTCCTTCACTACATACTCCGTAGAGTTTCCTAAGGGTCATAGATCGCACGCATATATATGCATAAACATAAGGTGTCTATAGCACCTAACGAAATATACTTTCAAGAATTATTCGCAGGTAGCCACACTCTATTACCACAGCTTTTACTTAAATGAAACCTCGGGAATTGGAATGATATTTTCAAATATTTATACACATGAAAATATATTCACTCATAAAAAAATACTATTTTCTACACTCAAAGTTGAAGGGCATTTAGGAAGAAACGAAACAAATGAACCCGCCGAACGATGCTTGGATACCCTCTCACCCAACCCTAGCTTGGGAAAGTCCTTCAATGTGTATTAATTTTCGCTAAAATAAATAACATGAAAAGTCACTTTGGGTTTTCACGCAAATCAATACTTTACCGTATGGCACTGAGCCAGGCCCTGTGTATGATGGTCAAACCTGATCGTGGATTCATCATACACTCTAGCATTTCTGAAAATGAACTGGGCTTAAGAATGAAATTTCAGAAGAAGAAAAATAGTGAGATATGATGGTAAAGAGTGAATGCCAGAATTATGAATATAATATATATATATAAAGGGGGCAGAAATGGTAGTAAGCATTTATAATAAATCTTTGTGACCCATCACGGATCCATGATGAAAATTTGCTATGTGAAGGAACTTCTCCAAACAATATAAAGCTCATATATACAAACCTTTTGCATCCGCCATGCTCAGTCTGACATTTTTACCACCATTGTTTATGTTATAAGATTTATTTTTAACACGATAATTGTTTTTTATTTTAACAAAATCTTCAGGAATCGTGTAAAGGTATGCAAATCATAAATTGACCACACAAAAAAAAGCGGATCTCAAATAAGCAAATGTCGCCAGCTATGACAATAACATTACAAAGGGAGGCACTGACATAATACGATAGCAAGTGTTTGAAAAGACATAAGTAATATATCACGATGATTGAGTTACACAAAAATTAAGCAACTTTTTCGCCTCTTTTTTTTCTACTCCTCAATTACAAGGAAAGATATGCACTATCGCAACCTAGAGAAATTAAAACTAAACCTCTTGTTCAATTATATAAATATAGATAGATTTATATTGGTATATTTATATATACATGCGCATAGGTAGAAAATTGAATAAATAATCAAAAGTGATCTGTGCATAGGAAAGAGAGGGCTTCTCTCTAGAACGCTGGTGAAAAATATAAACACCATGTATCATAATATATTGCGTACGCCAGGTCATTTTGAAATGATTTCGAATTTACATTGCTTCAAAAAGCAATGTATACAATTAGACCAACTCGTAGAAGTAAAAGGTTATCAGTAGTATAGATGCTCCGTACCCCACTTCAAGCCCAGTGGTGAGAGCATGAAAGAGCATAAGATAAATTAAAAATAGATTTTTCTGTGAATAACAGGGATTTCTAGGCCAGCCCACAGAAGCACTTGGAGCTCTCCGCCGTAGCCTCGATGCCTTCCCTACCGGACCCGCGGTATACCATACGGGCCACTCGTTGCGTGTTGATATTGGAGGGATCCTCATCGGCGACCCCGCGTTGGGCGCTCGTCTCCCTCCTCCTCCCTCCCGGGCTGCGTGGAGGCGAATCCACCACCACCCCCGTGGCGATGCCCGCCTGCTCGCCGACCCATCGTCGCGCGGCCTGAGGTTGAGGGGCCGTCCGGGGCCGTGGGTCGCCATCCCGCGCCGTTGGCTGACGCGGCGGGCATATCCCGCCCCGGTTGAGATCTTCGTGCGAGGCCGCCAGCAGCCGGGACCGGCTGGAGGTCGTCTCCTCTGACGCCCGGGGGCTCCCACTGCTCCGGAAGACGGTGGTGGGGGCGACGGCCTGGGAGAGGGTGCCGTGCAGACCGCTAACGTCACCCCCGAGGTGCTGGCGGAGTATCGGGAGCAGCCCTACGACCCCGCACGGGGGGGACTCAAAGACCGGGTCGGGTCGGATCCGGTAGCCGCACTTCACCAAGACGACGTTGTGGAGGTAGGCCTCGAGTTGGCGCAGCTTGGCGGGTTGGCCGAGCAGGCACCGGACGTCGAAGCCCTTCTTGCCGCTCTTGCGTTCGTAGTAATTGGCCTCATCGAAGGGGAGAAAAAGGTGAGGGTCGACACTCCCCCTCGGCATCACCTTCGGTAGGTTCGAGCGGACCAGGGTGCCCATCACGACATCCCTCGCCCGGCCATCTGCCTCCATCATCGTGGTGACGACGGACGAGGACTGGGGCGGCGGCGTGGCGGCGCCCTCCCATAACCCGCTGTAGTAGTTGTTCTCATAGGGTTCCGTCCCAAAGGGCCTGAACACCTCCTCAGGGATATCAACGTTGAGGATATTGCAGCAGTCCGCCACAAATTGGAGGTGGTTCTCACTATCCTTTTTGAGGATTTTCCTCACATGCGACGATCTCAATACTTCCCGTGCGATGCTGCACCGGATGGCCTCCTCCACCGATTGCCGTACTAAATCTTTTCGCCTGGTGTTGTCGGGCGGATTCTGCAGATGTTCCGGTCTAGAAAAAGACTGACCAAGATCTAACAAAGATGAAATCCACGGGTGAGCCAACGCTTCCTCGGCGGTAAAGCGCTTTTCCGGTTCTATCGCTAAAAGTCTCTCGAGGAGGCCACGAACACTGTTGCGCGGGTATTTGCTCGGAAAGCCGTTAATAGATGACTGTTCGGTTTCTACAATCCCCACCGTGAGGTCCGGGACATCATCCAAACACACGGCCTCTTTCTGTGAGGCGATCTCGCGGTACAGTTGAAAGCAGTTGATCAATGACGCAGGCGTCGCACTGTTATCATCGTAATCGCTGCTGGAATCTTTGAGCCGTTGATTATAGTAATTCTGGTGCACTCGCAATGGACCGTCCTTGCCCGTGAGAAGCTTGTAAAGAATTAAACCGCAGCACCACATATCACATTTTTTTGCGTCGATCTCGAGCAGGCCGCTACGACGTGGGACCCATTTTCGGTTCCAAGCACTACTGTGCTCAGAATCGGAACGCGCCTCGCCCATGGTACTAAAATTGTCGTAGTTGTTGGAATTCCCATCCACTAAGCCATAGAAATGTTTGCACAGCTCTGGTGCGGCGTACAATGGAGTGCCATATCCATCGTAGCGTTCGCCCACACTTCCTAAGTCCGTCAGTTTTACGGAGCCGTCCTCGAAGAGAAGGATATTTGAGGTTTTGATGTCGTTGTGTGCGCTATTCTGCAAGTGCAGGTAATTGACGCCAGAGAGGATCTGGAACATAATACCCCTGATTAGCATCATAGATAAAAGCGGCTCGGGCTCCTTCCGGTCGCGGCTACTGTGCTGTAGAAGGCTCTTCGAGCCATCGTTTAGAATCGGCACCAATCGAGGTGGTAAGTTGCTACCGACCTCCCCAGGGGTCTCCGTCTGGAAGCTCGCACAAACCGTCGTTGAGGTGGTGGAGGCGGACGAACACGACGTCACGGAGAACGAAACAGACCGAGAGTCATCCTCCAGCGTCGACAAAAGCGTTAACTGCTCATTGTTATTTGGGCTGTTTACCTCATCGGGGTCATCGCCATCATGGTGGTAGCCACCCCAAGGCCCTCGGTAGCCCTTGGCACTCCCGCTACGATAACTTGCAGTGCTTGCAGTCTCGTCTTGGTGGAAGCCCCTATTGTCCGGATCGACGACATCATTGCTATACGTGACATTCAGATTGGTCTTGCTGTCAGCCATTTCCGCTGTCTTAGTGGTGGTGCCGGTTGAAAGACCGGATTGCGTGTTCGGCTCTTTACCGTCCGATGAGCCGATGTGTGTTCGCGGATGTTGTCGTTTGGCCGACGCCTCGCGGAGCGCATCCTGCACGAGCTGCTCCAAACTGCAGATCGCAATAGGCAGAATAATGTACTCCTTCCCGTTCATCGTGAATATGTCGCGTGCGCGGACGATGTAGGGGCTGTGGAAACGTTGTAGGTTGATGGCCTCACGCTGATTCACGCGTCGCTGGTAGGCGGCCTGGTCGGTGCGCTTAAGCGCGGGTCGATCTTTTGCGGATGTTGTCGAACCAGTGCAGACATTGCCCATCTTCACCGCGCATCGAGAGATACGCTCACCGGAGATATCTAAACCATCTCGCACCACACCATAGGTGCCCTCACCAAGTAGCGCACCGATAATGTAATGGCTGACTTTTTTGATGCGTTTACGGCGCAGGTCGGTGCTGACGCCGAGGAGCGTCACCGGGAAGGAAGTCGAGGTGGGGTGACGCATCATCGGCAGGTCCACCTCCGAAAGCTCAGATACCAACAATGGGGATAAATTCTGATAAGGAGCAGGCGGAATCTTCATCGTGAACTGAGAACTAGATTTGGGTGAACCAATGACCAAATCTGATGGGACTTCCTGATTCGTCTTATGGTTAATGTCCTGTTGGCGAGTATAGTCCTCTACCAGATCCTCCGCTAAGGGTGATGAGAAATTCCCCAGAGTGCGTGAAGGGTGTCCCTGCTCATTGAAAGAGTGTGATGGAAAGAGGGGAAATTCACTATCGAGGTTCGCATCACCCTCTCCAGCATCGCGCGGATTGCTAATAGTCTTTGTGGCGAAGTTCCTGCGATGCTGGATATCTGACTCTGGTCTGTCCGGCACGCCCACACCTTGCATATCAACTACTACATCTAGACCCTTAGACTCTGGAGTATCACGGGTAGTGTTGTTAATCGTCGATTTTTGTTTTGGCAATTCATTTGAACCCTTGTCATATTTTATAGCAGGAGTGCTGTCCATCACAGGATGAACATTCGCTGCTCCTGTTAAGTCATACTTGGACTCATCGTTCTCGACCCTAACTAAACTTTTGATGTCGTCTCTGTCAAAGCTACTCGGCTCCTCAGTTATGTCATTCACACTACTGTTCATACCCTCTATGCCACCAGGAATGGTCTTTTTGAATGATTCTGCCTCAGAATCCATGCTCTACTTGAG